ACTGGCCATCCCTATATAGGATCCGAACCCATGGCCTTGGTGTTATCAGCACCACACTCTCCCGAGTGAGCCATGGACCGGCCCTCCGATTCTGGATTTAAATGATAACTTTTTTGACATGCTTCAATTCACTGACAAAGGCAATTTAGGTTTTTAATATAGACGAGCATTTTCCATTTTAAACTGGGCAGTTCTTATAATTTATCAAACAGATTTTATTATAAAATATTTTAAACCGGGCAGTTCTTATAATTTATCAAACAGATTTTATTATAACATATTTTAAACCAGGTCCTTCCTCATAATGCATCTTATAATCTAAGAGTTAGAGTCTTTGTCAATAAATGATAATTTCAACTTAATAGGTGTACTTAATTATCATCATTTATTTCGATATTCAAATTATCCCATACTTGGCCAGTAGGGGGCCCTACAGGTTGGCTTCTGTGTCTTTTTGATATATCCTCATGGTTCTTTGAGCACTTCCTTATTTTTCTGGCAAAATGTCTGTTCTTGGCTCATCTTGTACTTTCCCAGCCTTGGAATCAGCCATTTCTCCAAGGAGTCCTGGATCTTTTTTTTTTTTGGTGGCTGGCTGGTCCAGGGATCCGAACCTGTGACCTTTGCGTTTTAAGGCTGTGCTCTAAACCAGCTGAGCTAACTGGCCAGCTCCATCTTTTTAATGGAGAATGATATTTAGAAACCAAGATCTGGGCACTAGATATCCTCATTGTTTACTAGGTTGTTTTTTAGGACTTCTTAGCAAATAAACACATGTATGTATATATACACACATATCTATTTCTACATCTATCTATAACATGGGTTCATAGTCATAGCTCTAATTCTCTAACATCTCTAATATCACAAGAATTCATTGTACCCTCTCCCCTTTTCTTTCTTTTTTTTTTTTTTCAAAAAGATGACCTGTAAGGGGATCCTAATCCTTGACTTGGTGTTGTCAGCACCACACTCTTCCAAGTGAGCTAACCGGCCATCCCTATATAGGGATCCGAACCCATGGCCTTGGTGTTATCAGCACCACACTCTCCCAAGTGAGCCATGGGCTGGCCCTTCCCCTTTTCTGACAGTGAAAAACCTGGCTCCCACTATCGTCAATATATTATTTGCTCAACCCTAGAACATACATTAGTTTCAGAAGTGTTAGCCCATACCACTGTGAAAAACAAACCTACTAATTAGAGTTCAATATTTGGTTATAGATCTTTTTGTCTTTAGCTTGTGTTCAAGAATTATTTGGTTTAAGACTTCTCCTTCAATGTAGTTAAGTTACTCATTTGAAATACACAGGTTCATCATTTTGCTTTTCTCTCATCTGTCCTAATTGACTTTTAATTTTTTTTGAATATGAAAAATGTTAACATAGTTCTAAAAGTCAAAATCATACAAAAATGTACATGCGGAGAGAAGTCACACCTCCAACCCTTTCTACCCCATTCCTAGTTCCCCATCCTTTGCATCTCTCAATCCATAGGTAACCAGTGTCATTAGGTTCTGATTTATCCTTCCATGTTTATTTTCCCACAACTGAGCAGATATATGTGTATTTTCTCATTTCCTCTTCTTTCTTTTTTTTTTTTAAAAGATGACCGGTAAGGGGATCTTAACCCTTGACTTGGTGTTGTCAGCACCACGCCCAGCCAGTGAGCGAACCGGCCATCCCTATATGGGATCCGAACCCGGGGCCTTGGTGTTATCAGCACCGCACTCTCCCGAGTGAGCCACCGGGCCGGCCCCTCCTCTTCTTTCTTACACAAAAAGTATCACACCATAGATCTCTTTTGTATGCTGCATATCAGTTCATAGATACCTTATTTGTTATTATTTTATAGCTTCAGAGAACTCCATTGTGTGGATGTAAAACTGATTATTCAAATAACTCTCCTATATCTGGGCACTCAGATGATCTCCAATATTTCATAATTACAAACAATGCTGCAATGAATACCCTTTTGCACATATATATTCACATTGTCGGAGTGTATTTTTGGGATAAACTCCTATAAAGTGGATTACTTGGTTGAAGGGTAGATGCATATGTGGTTTTGCTAGATATTGCCAAATTCCCCTCCAAAACTGTACCAGTTTGCATTTCCACTAGTAATGCATGAGTGTCTGTTTCCCCTCAGCCTCACCAAGAAAATGTCTTTTCACATTTTTTCCACCAGTCTGATAGGTGAAAAATGCAATTTTAGTGTAGACTTAATTTACATTTCTTTAATAATGACAAAGTTTAGGCATCATCCCTTATGTATAAGGGTCATTTTTATATCTTATTTTTGTATGAATTATGTATTCACATAGTTCTTAAAAAAATTATTATTTTTTTTGGCAGTTGGCCAGTATGGGGATCCAAACCCATGACCTTGGTGTTATAAGGCTGTGCTCTAATCATTTGAGCTAACCGGCCAGCCCTGAATTCACATTTTTCTATTGGATTTTTGGTCTGTATTCCTTGTGTTTTTAAGAGTTCTTTATATATTGCGAATATCAATCTTTTTCTTGCAAACTTTGTCATTCTTTTTGCTGTTGTTGGCTGGCTGGCTGGTATCAGTTTTTGAACTTGTTAATGGTGTTTTCCAATAGTTTTTTGGCCATAAAACAGGTTTTTAATTTACTTTTTATTTTTAAGTGGTCAAATCTATCAATCTTCTCTTGCATCTGAATTTTGATACATGGTTAAAAAATACTTTCCCTATGTCTAGGTTATGTTTTCTTCTGTCAATTGTATTAGAGCTACTTTTTGTGCACGGTGTAAAGTGTGGATCTAACTCATGTTTTTCCCAGTTGTCCCAGCACCATTTATTAAAAAGCTGATTATTAAAAGCCCCTGTGACTTGAGATGGTACAGTTATCATCTACTGTATTTCCATGTGGTCTTTTGTGGACTGTCTTTTCTATTTATTGGTTTGTCTATTCATGTGCCAGTACCACACTGTTTTAATAGAAAAGACTTTCTAGTACACTGTAATATCTGTTAGGGCTAGAACTCCTTGTAGCTTTTCTTTTGTGTTGTCTTGGCTTCTCACATGAACTTCAGTTTGTCTTGTCTAGCCCCATAAAAGAGCTGACAGGTATTTTTATTGCAATAGTGCTTACACTATAACTTAGGCAGAACTGACAGCTTTATAATACTGAGGTGTTCCAGCCAAGAACAAGGGATGTCTTTCCAGTTATTCAAGTCTAATATTGTGTTTTACAGGTTTCCTCATCCATGCCTGCATATTTCTTACTAAGTTTAGTTAAGTATTTTGTATTCTATTTCTTATATTATGAATAGGGTTTTATCAATGTACCTTCTTTTCTTTTTGATTGGCAGGTACAGAGATTGAACGTTAGACCTTAGTGTTATCAGCAGTATGCTCTAACCAACTGAGCTAACCGGCCAGCCTTATCATTATCTTCTTCTTTTTTTTTTTTTTTTTGACGGATAAGGGGATTGCAACCCTTGGTCTTGGCGCTACCAGCGCTGCACTCTCCCGAGTGAGCCACGGGGCCGGCCCTTTATCATTGTATCTTCTAACGGGTTATCGTTCACATATATGAAGGATATTAATTTCTGCATATTAACTTTGTTAACTGTTACTTTAATCTTTCGTTATGTAAAAGTCTTTAATTTTATAATGGATTTATACTGTATTTTACAAAACAAAAATTTTTTCGTAGCCTGTGACATAGGTGACAAAATAAATTCTATAACTATGTATATATGGTATGCTAGGTATATTATCTGAAAATA